CCAGCATGGGCAGCTACTGGCAGCAGGATAGTGCTCTGGGAGCCAATGGCAGAAGCAGGAGCAGCTCAAGCAGGCACTGGCATCACTCCCCAGGCTGCACCTTCAAATGCTGCCCTGTGCTCTGACCCCTTTAGGAGTGCTGGTCTTCAGGACAGTCCCAGTGCCATTGTGGCCTGGGAGCGCACATCAGTCTATGCTGACAGAGGATGGGCTCTCTATTACCACAGGCCTCAGTGGGGTAAAAGCTCAGAAAAAGTGTTCCAGGTTTTGTTTTTAAGCTTATGTGGCTGTGGGGGAGGAAGGAATAGGACTGGAGGGAGCTGGGGTGGCTTGAGAGGTGTAGCCAAGGCACAGGGGGCTTTGCTGTGCTGCTTCAAACCCCACAGAGCCCATGCCCTGGCAACATCCCTGTGGAGGCTGGCACTGTGCATTTTCTGAGTATCTCTCTGTGGCAGATGACAGTCTCCACTGCTCCACCCCAGGCACCTTTCAAGCCTCAGACACTCCCTGCACCCCTCTGTTGCCCACATCCAGCATCACCAGCCCTCACCTACATGTTCTTGCTTGGAGCTCAGTGCTGCTCCTCAAACCCTCCTGGATACATAGGCCATGAACCCCTCCAGTGGAAGGCCAAGAACACAGTTTGGGTTACTTTGCACAGTGGCTTCATGTCCAGACCCTGTTGTGGACTGTCACAGCCACAGGTCACTGGTTGTACTCACTGGAGCCATTGCACACTCAGGCAGGCATGGGCAGGGCAGGCAGCAGTGGCAGGGATGTGCTGGTGAGTGGTGGTGGCATGGGACCATTCCCTATCCCTGGCGGGGTGGCTGACTGAGGCCATCACGGCACAGATTCTGTCCCCATGTCCTGCGCTCCCCCTCCCCTGGGCTGCTGCCACTCTTCCATACCTCTCATTGTTGTCATATGAATTGTAGTTCTTTTAAAAGGAGATTTTATTAAATGACCATGTTTGAGACCCATGCAAGTGTGTGGTGTGGGGCCTGAGGCTTGGGGGGCTCCTCTCGATGGTGGGGTGGGACAAGGGGACAAGGAGGGAGGATGCTGTGGGTCCTCAAACCTTCCCTAGGGAACAGTGAGCAGCCATTCTGTTTGTGCAGCTGGAGGAGTGTTCAAACCCTTCCCAAGGGTTTTCCCAGGTACGGAAAGAACCGGGGATAATTTTCTTGTCTATTTGCCAAGTTTCTCCAGAAGAAGGTCCGATGGAGCCCCCGCACCCAGCCCTGCAGCAAGCACCCAACCCCCCTCCGTCTCTTGCACCCAGGGTCCTTAGCACCTCGGGGATGACAGATAAGGGCTATCGAGTCCCTGCATTGTGTGTAGCCCAGTTCCTTTGATCACGCCAGCCCCCCCCCATCAGGCTGATACCATCTCTCCAGGTTTCAGCAGCTGGAGGTGGGTGCTGACTCACCGCCAAAGCACCCACCCAGGATGCTTCTCTCATGGGAGTCTTCAGCTGCAGCCCTGGGCAGTGCACACCCCATACAACCCAAGATGCCCCCAGGGCTCAGTCCTGGGAAAACCCAACCTGGAACCCACTCACTCCTCTGTACTGAGGTCCCCAGATTTGTCCTTTGCTCCCACAACCCAGTAATCTCTCTTGGAGCCTGTCCAGACATTTTGTGAAGTTCTAGCTTTTAGTAAAACTTGACTGCCTGGGAAGCCCCCCTTGCTCTGGAGGCCACAGGAGCCCTGTGTGCCCTGGGAATCCCTGTCCCTACCACACATCCAGGCATAGAAGAGTCATTTGTCCAGGGACAAGGGCACCTGATGCAGACATCCAAGGCCTTAAGCCCCCACCTCACTTCCCCCATCTATAACAAAATAGGGTGAGCCCACTGGTGTAATCAGGCACTGTGGTGGTGTGGGTGAGACCCACATTATAGCCCAGGGCCTTTGTAATAAGGGGACAGAACTGGACAAAAACACCCTCTGTGATTTTCCCCTGGGCTAGGTTTGGAAGCACTGACTTCATACTGTCCTCCTAGGCCAGCTGCAGCCCGGCAAGTTGTGCTGACAGGGAGCAGATCAGCGTTCCTCCAGGCATGGGGTTTCTGGAGATGAACCCCCTGTCTAGCTCTCCTTAGTAGTCCTGGAGTGGCTCCCTCACCATGGGACCCTAACCCAACCTGTGCAGGACTGCAGCCCCTCTTTGGTGGGCAACTCAGCAGCACAACCCCCCGCAATGGCCTTTCCATCACCTGCCACAGAAAAGCGTGGCCTGACCACGAATAAAACATCATCCATCCTCATCCACTCTCTTAAAATCCCAAGCACCGCACCAGTGCCACATCACCACACTCGGCAAAGTGAGGATGAGCAGATGTACATCTCAGCCCACTCCAGCCTGCTACCATCTCAGCGAGCCAGTAAAGCAGACACATTTCTTTATGTTCCCATTTTCTTAGCAGGATCCCATTGATTCCTGGCTGCCTTAGACAGAGCCAGACTAAGCCTGGAACACTAACAGGTTCCAGATATGGGCTGAGGGATGGATGCATCTGTCCATCTCCTCTGGAGAAGGCAGAAGAGATGTGGTCAGTGGTGCTCAAAGACCCTACACAATAACCTCACACAGCCACCCCCAAATCACCCAAAATCATTGAAATGTATTGGTGGGGGGGGGGGGGGCACACAGGGAGAAACCCCACTGACTCCTTCCACATCCCCCAGCTAAAACCATCACTGCCACAATGGGCCCCCGTGCCTACAAAGGGGCCGGTTCAAAGTCAACGTCTCCTTTCCCCTCAGTCTGTATATGAAAGGACCAGGAATGCGTTTGAGGGCCGGGGAGGGGGAAAGGGGGGGGGGGGGGGGGGGGGGGGGGGGGGGGGGGGGGGGGGGGGGGGGGGCCGGGGAGGCTTCCGGGGGGGGATGGAGAGAAAAAGTAGGTTGTCAGGAGGAGGGGGTCCAGCCCGGGAACAATAAATCAAAGGGAAAGGGAGTTACTGCGTAGCCAAGGAGCTTCTGAAACCCTGGGCCACAGCAGGAGCCCGGGAGGAGCATGGCTGATGGCTGCCATCGGGGTCCCGCAGAGAGATTTCCTCTGCCCGCTGGCAGTGGGGCAGGCAGCAGCATAGCAGACAGTGGGCAGGTCTGCCTGCAAAGCACTGGGTCCAGCATCCTCAGTACCACGGTCCAGGTAGTCCCCTGGCAGACTGAACCCAGCCCCTGCTGGGCAAGATGCTTCACCACTCTGGACATGGAAGCTCCGAGGTCCAGAAGCCACAGGGCTCACTCAGGGCTGCCCATGTCCCCGCAGGGTTTTTGAATCCTTAGTTCATTTTCCTGGGGCTGCCCTCCCTCCTGGAGCAGTTTGACACAGCCAGGATGGGCAGCCTGGTACATGTCCTGCCAGGCGTCAGGAATACTCATTAATTGCAGCTCATCCACCGGGTCATTTTTTCCCCTAAGAGGAACATCATCAGGAGGCTTAGCTGTTCCACTTCCCCTGACATGCAGCAGTGCCGTGTGCTGGGCCAGGGGCTGCTGCTGGCATTGTGGATACCGGTACCTAGATGCCAGTCCCGGGATGCCAGCTGTGAGTATGAGTCTCTGTCCGCCAGCCCTTGGGGGCCTGTCCCAGGGCATCGCTCCCTGGGTGCCAGTCCCTAGGTTCCAGCCGTCCCTGCAGCCAAAGCAAGTGCTTCATAAGCATCATCAAGCACCTTCCCCGAGTTCCCCCGCCCACAACCCCATTCCCATCCCGCCGCGGGGGAGGCTGCTCCAGCCTATCTCCTCGCCATATCTCCAGTGCGAGACGGCAGCAGCTCCCAGTAATCCGGGTTAATAAACAGGCAGCAGTGTCGGCAACGGGATCACTCCCTGCCTTGCTCCGGCTGGGATCACGGGGTGCTGACAAAAGGAGCACTCCTCGCCCTGCTCCTGCTGAGGTCAGAGGGTGCCCATGCTGTTGGTACCTGCCTGTACACAGGAACTGGCATCAGGCAGAGCCAAGCAGAGTCTGATGTTATGACAGTGTCAGGATCGGGAAGGTTCCGAGTGCTGAGCCAGGAGGAAAGGGGAAATTACTGGAGCCAGCTCAGGTAGCGCCATTGTGAAGGGCAGTGTGAAGGGAAATTCTTTAAGATAGAGAAAATATGGAGCGTGCTTCATTGTGGAGCCGATGGACACGATAGTTGGGGCTGCAATTCCTTTCCCGGAAGCACACTGAGCTCTGAGGTCCCAGAGACAGACACGCTCCTCCAAGCCACAACCCTTCTCTGCGAAGTGAGGAAGAGGAGAGGAATGGTGAGACTGTAAGGGGCCTCGGGAGCCTCAGATCTGTCCATGCTCCTCAAGGAGCTAAGGCTCAGTCAAGAAGACCAGGCAGTAAGAGGGGCAAGAGGTGATGGTCAAGCCCTGGACTACGCCTGCTGCTGCACGATGACACCGCCATCGCGCGGCTTGTCCTCTGTACTGGGGACAAGTGGCTGCCACAGCTGGATATGCTGCCTCACACCAGCCCCTGGCTTCGGTTCATACCGCCAACAGCTCCCCAGAGCTATCTCGTTTCTTGCCTAGACTCCGCAGAGGTGGGGGCTCCCATGTGGGAAGACCCCGTTGCTGCTGCTGTCCCTAACACTGGCGCGGTGCTCCCCGAACAGCGTGGGGCCGGAGGGGTGCGAGGGACGTGGGTGTCCTCGAGTCCCCCGGCACTGGAGGCGTGCGAGCCCTGCGACAAGATCGGTGTCCTCCCCCTCCCTGTCCCATCGGGGTTGCCCTGTCCGCCTCCCCTCCGGCGCCGGGTGCGGGCCGGCGCAGCCCCCTCCCATAGCACCTTCTCTCCGTGTCCCCCGCCCCCCTGGGGGATCAAGTTCACGCCCGACCCACCGATGCGGGGCCCAATGGGGCCGGGGCCCATCTCCATCCGGCCCGGCCCGGCCCTGCCACTCTCAGAGGCCCCAGCGGCACCCCAGCAGGGAGGCATCGGCCGGCAGCCCCCGCATGGAGCCCTAGGGCAGCGGGCGGCGGGCAGCATGTTCAGCCCGGACGGGGGGCTGCCGGCCGCCCCTTTCGGCCTTCTGACCGACGCCGGACCGCCTTTCCACCGCGGCAGCTTCGACGGGGCGCCCGCTCAGCCGCTCTTCTTCCCCTTCGCCGCCACCGCCGAGCCCGAGCCCGCCCGGGACCCGCCGCCGGCCCGCGCCTGGCTGCCCCCGCCCGCCAAGGTGGAGGCGCGGCCGGGCCGGCCCTGCAGCCAGCCCGAGCCCGAGCCCCGCACCGCCGCTTGCTGCGGCCCGGCCTGGCCGCCCCCGCCCTGGGCCGGCCCGTCGCCCTCCGGCCCCGCCGCCCTGCCCGGGCCGCCTTTCTCTGGCCCGGCTGCCCCTGCCTTCCCTGGCCCCCAGCTCTGCCCCGCCGCGCTGCAGCCGGGCTCCGGCGGCCCGTCGGGGCTGGGCAGCAGCGGCAGCTCCAGCGGCGCCGCCAGCGAGGGCGGACACTCCAGCGACAGTGGTGAGGAGGTGAGACCCGACGGGATGGGGACGGGGCGGGCTGCTCTGCCCCGCTCCCGCCGTCTGCGCACAGTGCGCCTATGAGGCTTTCCTTCCCGTCTGGAGCCGCGGTTCACCGCTCCGACGGCAGGAGCTGCCCGGCTGCTCTCGTGTACCGCCGAGACCCGCCGGTGCCACCTGCCGGGGCCCACCGTCGGGTGCCCCCGGGAGAAGCCCTGACCCAGCGCTGGGGGTCGTCCCGCATGTGTCAGACTCTCCGCAGAGGGAGAGCCTTGGGGAGGCTGCTTTGGGGTAAGAAAGGGAGTTTTGGGAACTCGGGACCGCAGCTTCCCCTACGCGATGCGGCAGGGCCGTCTCGGGTAGCGATGTCGAAGGTCGGCTCCGGCGTGAAACTCGGGGCAGCGCAGCGCGGTCACCGAGAGCTCCTGGCCAGCCACCCGCGTCCCCTTCGGTCGGCTGCGTCCCCGGCCGCTGCTCCCAGAGCTCCTCGGGCACTGAAGTTTGCTGGGGCAGAGACAGCCCGGAGATGAGGGCGGGAGGAAGACGGGGGCAGCGGGGCTGGTTCCCGGCACAATTAAAATTGTGGTTTGCGCTAGTTTTTATTATTTTTCAATGTTGACGTATCACGATCCCGCCCCGTGAAGAGGAGCAGCGACCGATGCCGGGGGCTGGTCCCTGATGGGGTTGGGAGAATTCGCATTGCCGCCAGTGGGTCGGAGATGCGGGATGTCCCACGCCACAATCGATACGTGTGTATCCTCTGGCCGCTTTGGGTGGGAAGTGGTCATGAATGGCATTTTCTAGCTGCGGGATGGTGATCTGGGACGGCATCCCTCCTCCGTGGGAGGGATGCTCTGAGTTTACCGGTGCCGATTATACGCCAGGAACTAATAGCCGTGACTCGGTGACAGGAAAAACTCCTGAAAAACCCGAAACCCCGCTGAAAACGTTGAAATTGGGTAAAAGGCTTCAAAATGACCCCGTATAGGCTAAAGGCTGCGTGGCAGGAAGGTGGGAAGCGCTTGGGCAGCCGCTTGCCAGAACGGAAGAGCCGGCTGGTAGCAAAGAGGTGCTCACGCGGCTCGGGGGCGGTTTTGTCCCTCTCTTCGCGGGAGTCTTTTCCCTGCTCTGGACGCAGGCGGGAGAGAGGTTGGTGAGGGGCTGCCTCAGCCGGGAGCCGTGGGGAAGTGGCCCACGCCGCGGGAGAACTGAACGTCCCCGTGCGCACGTGTCGTGGATGAGTGAGAATGGGGCAAACCTGGGACTCGGCCAGTGTGATAATTTGTGCTGCCTCTGGCCAGGCCAAGACTGGCGCGAGCCAGAGGACAAAGGGAACATTTCCAAGGCGTGTTGAGGCAGAGCAGGAGCTCTTGGTGCCCTTGTGCTACCCTTGGCCGCCGCCGTGCCAGATTGGGTCGAGTTGAGCAGGGTGCGTGGTCGGGGTGGATCCTGTATGAGCCTGCTCTGTGTCAGTGCTCCCGAGGGCTCAGCCGAACCCTCTTCTGTCGCTGTCCTTCGGGGGGACCACAACAGACCCTGGACGCTGGGCGCGAGTTGTCCCTTCTCAGTGTCTTTCTGCGCTTGCCAGGATGCACCAACCTCAGGAGAGCTGGAGCAGTTCGCCAAGGACCTCAAGCACAAGCGCATCATGCTGGGCTTCACCCAGGCTGACGTGGGGCTGGCGCTGGGCACCCTCTACGGTGAGGGGTCGGGTGGGTTCGGGGAGGGAGGGAAAGCCCAGGCATTACGCCATAGCCGCTGGGAAGGGAGAGGCCCACGAGGGATTTGAAATCACTTGGGATATGATTCCTGCTCCTTGACGACCTGCAAAGGAGGCGGGGGGGGGGGGGGGGGGGGGGGGGGGGGGGGGGGGGGGGGGGGGGGGGGGGGGAGCCGCTCCTGGAGGGATATCTCCAGATCTGCAGTGAGATAGAAGCTTCGAGCTCACAGGGAACTGGTCTAAAATAGCTACAGTTGCTTATTGAGATGTATTTTAGGGCTTTAAATCCCTGTTGAAGGAACAGGGAGAATGCCTTTCCTGGTTTCCCAGGAACAGCACAATCTTGGGGGTGGTCCTGAGGAGCTGCTGGCGAGGGAAGCTGTGTGTTATGTAATGCTCTCCCTGCCTTGCCTGTGCAGGGAAGATGTTCAGCCAGACAACCATCTGCCGCTTTGAAGCGCTCCAGCTCAGTTTCAAGAACATGTGCAAGCTAAAGCCACTGCTGCAGCGCTGGCTCAACGAGGCGGAGAACACAGACAACATGCAAGAGGTGCTGGGCTGAGGGGGCTGGGAGCCGGGTACCTCCAAACCCTGAGCCAGGTAGTTGCTGATATACCCCATTCTCCTCCCTCTCTCCCACTTGCTTTCAGGGAGAGAAGAGGGGAACAGAAGGTATCTTGTGCCACAGCACCATCTTTCTGCATAGCTTGAGTCTGGCTTGAGGGCAAACCACTGGGTTTCATTTACTGTTAGGCTGGGGGAGGAAGTCCAAACCCTCTGCAGACACGTTGTGATTGTGGCAGCTCCCATTTTGAGTAGACATGTCCTGCTGGAATCTCAGATAGACTGATTGTGCAGCTTGCTGCTTCCTGGGGAACCTGTGGGGGATGCAGAAATATGTGTCCAGCCTCACTGCTGGCAGTGCTGGGACAATGGGAATGGCCCCAGTCACAGTGGAATGATGCTCAGTGGAGAGTCACAGGGACACATTCTGTGCCCCAAGCTCTCCAGCCAGCCACACATGTGTCCCAAGCCTGGTGGAGACTCTTCCTGGTAACAAAACATTATCTCTCTCTCTCATTCCCAGATGTGCAATGCAGAACAAGTACTAGCCCAAGCACGGAAGAGAAAACGCAGGACCAGCATCGAGACCAATGTGAAAGGGACACTGGAGAGTTTCTTCCGCAAATGTGTAAAGCCCAGTCCCCAGGAGATCTCCCAGATTGCTGAGGACCTCAACTTGGATAAAGATGTAGGTTGGGAGGGTGGGGAGGATGGGTGCCCTAATGATGCCAGCTCCTGGGCACCTGACAGTCTGATACTTTAGCTCACAGCAAAATGAAATACACATGAAGAGATGTAAACAACTGCCTTTTAGCTGTGCTAGACAGTTAGGATATATATGGCTCATCAATATGAAAAAGAAAAACCCACTTGGTTCCAGAGAAGGCTTTTGTTCATAGATTTAATATTTAAAACTTAAGAGAGATAAAAATAGTTCCCAGACCCAACTACAGCCATCCATGTTTGTGTATATGTGAAAGTAATCTGATAACGTAATCCTTTGATACTAATTCATCTCTGGAGAAGCTGATTTTTGATCCCAAAAACTCACATGGATAGTGGCATTGTTTTTATTCTGAAGTGGAAATGCACCAGAAGAGAAAAAACACAACCCACTAACAATGCACAAGTTTGCGTATTGGCTTCATCTGGCTATGCTACCAGCCTTTGGAGAGAAGCCTTTCTTTCAATTTTGTTATCTTCTTTCCTATTTAACATATGCCATTTTTGTCATCTCTCAACTCCGGAAGCAGTGGGAAAGTGGTCATGGCTGAAGGTTGTTTGAACTGAGCCTAGCAAGGAGTTGTAACAGGGAGGGGGCTGCCCTGGTAGGTTGGGGTGCTGTGGAGATGCCACCAGCAGAAGAATCTCCTTGTCACCCACATGGTGTGCCTGGGTTACCCCCTCACCTTTCTCTGTTTCCCTTCCCACAGGTGGTCCGAGTCTGGTTCTGCAACCGGCGTCAGAAAGGCAAACGGCTGCTGCTGCCCTACAGCAATGAGGCAGAGGGGATGATGTATGACATGAACCAGCCCCTGGTGCCCTCCACTCTGCCCATCCCAGTGACGTCCCAGGGCTACAGCCTGGCACCCTCCCCTCCTGTCTACATGCCAACCTTCCACAAAGCTGAGATGTTCCCACAAGCGCTGCAGCCTGGGCTCTCCATGAGTAACAGCAGCCACTGAACCAGGGGCTGTAGGCTCACTGCAGGTGGGCTGGTGCTCTGAGGCAGCCCCCCCTTGCCCTTTGCTCACACAGGCATAGCCCTGCTTCTGCTCACTGGGCTGATGTGTGCGGCTTTTGGGGTGCGAGGGGCTGAGAGCCTGACCCAGGGATGGTGCCTGCTCTCTGCAGATGCTCCCAGCCCTTCCCTGTTATGTGAGCTTAGTGGTCCCAGCAGCATAGGCCCCCCTCTGACCTCTCCTGGGGGCAGTTCCTCCTGCCCCACTGCACCCTCTGAAGCCACATGTGCCCAGGGCTCTTGAGTCCGTGCCTGGCCCCAGCCCAGCCGCTCTCCTGTGAGACTGGGTTGACCCAGTATTTTTTAGATTTTGGGAAGGGTCGGGGGAGGTGGTGGTTTTATTATTTTTTAAAGGTTTTTGGTGGTAGTTTTTAAAAAGCAAAAATTTTTGTAGTGATCTAGTTTCCCAGGTGTCTCCTTCTGCCCTGTCATGTAGAGAATGGCTGGGGTGCCATGCCCAGGGCCAATGGCTCTGGTGGCTTTGCCCACCCTCCTGGGTGGCCATGATGAGCCAAGGGCTGGGGCAAGAGAAGATGAGCCCCCCACCCTCACCCTGTGGCACAAGAGAGCTTCACTGCTCTGTGGGGCAGCTGATAAGGCTTGTTTGGGATGGGGGGGGTTCCTCCCCAGTGCTTTGTACCCAGCATCACCCCCAGCCCCCCCGCCCACTCTCCAGCTGCTGTCTCCCGCCCCAGCCCAGCTGCCCAGAGATCACCTTTCCCTGGAGGGCCCAGCCCAGGGGGCTTGCACCACCCTGTCCATGCTGCTAGCACCCCATGCCTTCCAGCCTGCTGTAGTTAATGATGATTTTTAATTTTTTTGTTCTTAATCACATTCCCTCTGGCAGTGAAATAAACCTGAGTTCTTTGAGGCAAGAATGAGTTAACCCTTTCCTTGCCTTCCTTGCATCCCTGCTCCTGCAGCCCAGCAGTTGAGGGTTGGCTGCATGCAGGGGCACAGGAGGGCTGGAGCAAGGCACCCTAAGAAGGTTGACATGTCCCCATCATGCCAGCAACATTCAGCTCTTGACTGCCTGCAGCTTGGTCTCCCTCCACAACTGATGGCAGCTTGGCCCTGGAATGGTACCAGTTTGTCAGAGCTGTTGCCCCCCAAAGCAGAGGGGGTCAAAAGTGAAGGGAGGGGGTCATCTTCCACCCAGTTCAAGCTGCTGGACTGCTATGACTGCTTCTGGGAAGGTTGGAAGCAGTGTGAGCTTCCTTGGAGGCTGCTCCAGCAGCTGGCAGGGACAGAGAAGAACTAAGGAGGATGTACTAGGGTGGGTGGTGAAGAGGTGTGGAAAGCTGGGGCTGACCATATACTATCGTGCTGACGGGGGAGGGATGGATGTTCCCATATGTGGTCCAGCTGAGGCAATCTCTGGTGGGGTGATAACAACCCAGCCATGCAGGTCCATTGGGCACTGGGAACTGAGCTGGTAAAAGCAGGGATGTCTGGGGGATTTACTTTGCTTTTTCCCACTGCAGTCTCTCAGACATCCCCAGCAGGGATGTCTGGGGGATAACCCTTTACTTTTTCCCACCCCAGTCCATTCTCTCGAGGCTCCTTCCCATGAGGAGAATGAAATCCCCAATCAAGCCTGTAGGGAAACTTGGAAAGCCCTGTTTTCAGCTTGATGAGTGGTAGCTGGGGCTTTGCTCTCTAGGGCTACCTGGAATAGGGGCAACAAAGGCAGCTGCTCACAGGGCACCTTGGGACCCTGCAAAAGGCTGGGCTGGGCTAGATTCCAGCCTTATGGGGCAGTGCCCGTCTGCATCCCTCCTTGCTCCCCAGAGCCTCCTACTTGCCTGCCCACAGGGTAGGGGCACAGCTGTGTGTGGCATCCATCAGAAACTGCCCCTTGTTGCTCCTGCCCAGTTCTGCCTGGCACTTAAGGGGTGCAGGAGGCTGGCAGGGTCAGAAGCAGAAATATGAGACAGATGTCATCTCCCAAAGGTTTGCTTCTCTCCAAGTTTTCACTGTCTGGTTTTCTGCATGCAGCCACACAAAAGCTGCAGCCCACCATGGGACCACCCCCCCACACCCCCCCCCCCCCCCCCCCCCGGGCCCCCCCCCCCCCCCCCCCCCCCCCCCGCTCCTGCTACCCTGGCACCCCCTGCCCATGAGTACCCAGAATCTGTCTGTGGGCCTGTGGGCACCCACAGCCCCTCCTGTTCTGCTTCTGGTTGACCCAGAAAACAAAGCGGAAATCATAAGCCACAGAAGTCAGAAAAGCACAGTGTGCTTATCCAGCTGCCACCTCACCAGGGCTGTGCCAGGGAAGGGATGTCCCCTCTGCTGACTCTAAGTCTTCCTGGGCACCCAGCAGCTCACAGGGTTGTATAGGTGGGGTTTGGTGACTTCAGGGCCAGAGGGAAGAAAAAAGGAAGCTTGTGACAAAAATAATTGTTTATATCAAGGGAGTTGATGGCACTGAGGGGCGAAGAGCAAGGCACAGATGGAGCAGTCATGTCTTACCCCTTGTCCTGTCACTCAGCTCCGATATCACCACTGATCCCAGATGTGACATTGGACACAAAATGAGCACACAGAAGCTTGGTAAGTTCAAAAGAGAAAAAGAGCAAATTTTATTTCTGACCTCACAATATATAGAATTCCAAAAGTGGCAGTGGATTGGAGAATGAAATTGCCACCTCTCCAACCACACTGGTCAAACCAACAGTCCGTCAATTCTCTCCTCCCACAAAGAATGCAAAACAATCATTGTTTACTTGAACAGTTAATGAGAACTCCAGTGGAAATGCGTAAACATTATCAGAAGGCATAGAAAACTTTTAAAAGAACTTTAAAACTTTCAAAAGCACTGTAAAATAAAACTTAACACTTTTTAAAATCAGGGCAATGGGTATTTCCTCTTGGGATGCCCATGGTGCAGGGCGCTCATTCTGCAGGGTTTCCCCAGTGCAATGTGCTCATGTGCAAGTTGCCCACAGGACTGGCTTTGCTTGGGGTAGTGAAAGCCTCCAGAGGCTGTCAGCTCACTGGCTTCCTGTCACAGTGGGGAGGGAGTGACAAACCGCAGTGTCCCTCAGCCTGCCTGGCAGCCCTGAGATTGCTCTGAGAGCATCCGCTGTCCTGTGGCTCCTGTGGCACACTAGCCCCCGTGGCTCAGGGTGGGGGACAGGAAATGGGTTTGCCAGGAAGAGGAGGAGCAGATGCTGTCCTTCCTCCCTGGCCATTGGGTAATGGGCCCCCCTGGGCTGAGGCCCGCTCCTCCAGCCCAGTCACAAATGTCGCCACAGGGCCTCTGCTGCCAAAGCTTCGGCACTCAGCAGGTGCTGGGGGGACATTGAGGATCACAGGGGAAGGCTGGGGAGCCCTGAGCCACCCACCACCCCTCTGCCCTGCCCACACCACATGCACAGCCTCAGCAGCACTGTGCCATTAATTTCCAAAGCACCTGGTCCTGCCAGCACCCTGGCAAGGTGTTCAGTGTTAGGTGGGAGTGGTAAGTCCTGTTTCACAAGAAATGAAGTCATAGGGAGTTGCTAGAAGTGCAGTGTGACAACAACTGGGTTGGGAGGAGAGTGGGAGCTCCTGTCCTTGTTTCACATCCTGTGTGCAGGAGGGTGCCTCACGCATCTCCCACCCCTGCCTGCATTCATCCCAAGGGTCCCAGCACACTAGGAGTTGAACCAGCTCTGCAGGTCAGGATAGAGGTGGCCATGGGGCAGGCGGGGGTAGGCTGTGCAGATAGCACAGATCCGCTCCCTCCAGTCGGTGTAGAGTTTCACACTGAACCTCTTCTGCCAGGCAAAGAATTGCTGGTAGCGGCTGGAGTTCATGGTCTTCAGGAAGGTGGCCAGCTCCTCCAGGGAGCCAAAGTCGTTGACATGGATGAAGGAGTCTGCAGGAACAAACTGCTCATAGTTGGCCCTGGGTGGCCCCAACACCACAGGCACGGTGCCGGCCAGCAGTGAGTTCCTCCAGAGTTTCTCTGTGATGTAGTCCCGGTGGATGGAGTTCTCAAAGGCCAGGTAGAACTTGGACTTGGATATTGTTGACAAGAGGCAGTCCTTGCAGAGGGGCTTGTTGTTTGCTTTCCCATATATATTCACATGGAGGTACCTGGAAAGGTTTTTGTAGACTTCAGCTCTTTTCTGAGTCCTGTGGTAGTTGCTGATAACCCAGGACACCAAGTTGGTCTTTGCAGGGATGTTCACAGTGGCTGACTGGTTGGGCACAAGCTTGCCATAGGGGATGAAGATGTCCGAATCCTGTCTGTAAGTCATCACCCAGTTGAAGGTCCTGTTCCATGCTTCTAGAGCTCTACTGTTTGATGGGGACTCCAGGGAGACCCACACCCAGTTCTGCCCTGGCAACCTCTCCTTGGGCAATTTGTCTCGGCCAGGCTGGAGCCTGGAATGGGGGAACACCACCACATTGGCCTGGTGCAGGAGCTGCCGCTCTGTGGTGAGCTGGCAGCCTGTGATGCCGTACAGCTCATGGCACACGTCTCTGCTGACATTAGGGACCTGCTTGGAGGGCCATTCCCACACCAGGATCACCAATGGCTCCCTGTGTTTAGAGTCTTCTCCAGAGCCCTTGGAGGAGTTGAGGAAGAACCTCAGGTTCCAGAGGGTGGTTACAAACACCCCAGCAGTGACCAAGGCCTTCACACCAGATAGTCCCCATGGTGACCATCGCAGCGGCAATGCACAGGGCATGCTAGTGGGTTGGCTGTCACCTCATCGGGTGACAGAACTGACACCTGGGAGAGAGGAGAGGCCACTGAGGACCATCAGTTCAGCTTGCCAAGGACGAGGAGTGATGGGGAGGCACTGTGGCTAGAAGGGCCAAAGAAAGGCCTTTATCATGAACCCTGGGCCTCAGCATCACCCCCAGGACCCTCTGCCTCCCTGTGCCACAGAGTTCCCCATGCAGGTTGTGTCACCCCAGGGTAGCCTTTGTTCATGCTCCTGTAGTCCCTAGTGACCTTTGGGGGAGCACAAATGTTTCTGGGAGGGGCAGAGTTGATAGGAAGTAGCCACCTGTGCCCCTTTGCCCCACCTGGCTGGCCCCACTACAGGCAGTCCTTGCTTCCTCTGTGCCTTAGTTTCCCCACCTGACACACAACCACAGTCTCAGTCCTTCATGCTTTGCCCAGAATAGGTCTAACCTGACATGCAGCCGCCTTGCCACTGCTGTGCACTAAAGGACAAGAGGGAATGCCCCGGTCCCACCTGATTAGCCCCACAGTGACACCTTGTCTGCAAAATGGGGTGACTGACTCTGAAGTCCAAAACTCTGATGAGGGCCAAGTTTGGCAGTGTCCTGCCCAAGAAGTGCCAACTCACCCCAGCATTCTCCTGTGACAATGGTAAGAAAATTCCCAGGCTCGAGGTGCCCTCCCCAGGTCAGGGTGAACTCGCCAGTCCCCAGCAGGCTGAGGCTCAAACACTCACATTTTATATTTAGGATGTCACAGATGACCAGTGCCCCATTGTGTGGCAGAGAGGGGGTGGGAGGAAAGAGAGAGCAGAGAGGACAGTGCAGCACTTGGGGCTGCCACTGGTGGGTCTCAGCTTGCATGGGCCCCCCAGCTGTGGTATGGATGCTCACCCTACCAGGGTGCCCATCGGCCTGCCTCGGGCTTCTGTGGTTTAACCAGCAGCACTGCTGGGAGCAGAGCAGTGGCAGAGGTAGAGAGGGAGATGGTTGGCTGCACTGGGGACCAGCCACCAGCTTAAGCCCCCTCTGGAAAGCTGGTCCCACTGCAGGGCTCAGAGCATTCAGCACCATAGGTGGTTTCTCCTTTTTGTGGAAACCTCTGGAAATGTGGGCTGCCTGAGCCCTGCTGCCAGCTTTGGGGTCTCCTGGAAAGCAGTGCCCTACTTTCCCACCCACCCCAGAACTGCAGTTGGGCTACAAAAAAATCCCTTCCCCACCTTGGCTCAGTCCGTCTGTCCTGCTAAAATGCATGAGCTAAGTTTAAGCTCCAGACAAATCTGGCATGGGAAGCAGAAAGGGCTGGGAGAACTTTGCTGGTTCCCCACACTGCACATCAGTGCTGCAGGTCTCTGTCCCCAGCAGCAGAAATGTTGCTTCTGTTTTGGGGATGTTGCCCCCATTTTGGGGATGCTCTGAAAGGAAAACCCTTGCTGTAGCAGTGGCAGGGGCCACCCCATTTCTCAGCCCCTCTCCCCTCGGTGGTCAGTAATTTTGAACTCAGACTTACTGTGATGGAGGTGTGTGAGGTGCCAGATGCGTCTGCCTGGGTGCTGCTGGGCTGGGGCATTCAAGGGCTTCCTCTTTTTTTCAGTTTTGCCTTGTGCCAGCCCCACAGCAGGTCCTTCCTGCCCCATGTGTCAGCTGGCACACCCCACTCCCAGCACTTCCCCTGCACTGCGCTGGGGGGTGGGTACCCTGTGACTGGGTGGGTGCCCCATGGTAGGGTGGGTACCTTCCAGCCAAATGGGCACCCCATGGCGGATGCATGGCCCAGAATAAGGTGGGTGCCCTGTGGCTGGGTAGGTGCCCTCAGCCTTGACAAGGTGCCACCCATCTGCCACCCGCAGCTTGGTTGCAAACAGGATATCAACTCCCACTGACTCATCCTGAAAACATCAACAGCCCCGAAGTGCCACCGAGCTCTGGGCACTGTCCTGTCTTGGATGTCTCCAGCCAAAAGGGGAAGCAGGCACATGTGAGCCTCAGCAGTGTGTACACGGAGAGCTGCCTTCTCTGCTCCTGCCCCAGTTCTGCCCTGCTCCATGTCTGGCTCAGTTTTGTCCTTTGCTGGCATTGCTGTTCAAGACCCAAGTATCCATGAAAGCCCTGGCAGGCAAAATGAGATGGGGAAACTGAGGCAGAGGCAAGGAGAGGTGCATCAAGGTGTGCACCACTGTCCCTGAAGCTGGCAAGGGTATGCTCTATGCCTTAGCACACACGGAGCTGGGAAGAGGGCTCCAAACTGTTCCCTGGGGGTTCTCAGGCTGCTCCAGTTCCCCAGGGATCTGCACCCTCATTCCTGCTTGCTGCTAGATTCTTGGGATCTCTGTTGGGCACAATGCCACGGCGCCACGCCACGGTATAGCTGTGCTCTGTGGTTTCAGTGACACCCCAGGAGCCCTCAAAGGCCAACTGCAGCCCCACAGGAAGGTGCTCCTTCTTCCACAACCATGTCCATTTCCTGTCATCTTTTCTCACTCCTTTTCTGCATTTCTTCCCCCGCATGATTGAGAGCTCAAGTACTACAGTCCATTCCCAGGGCACCATTCCCAGCCTTGCCTGCCCTAGCCTTGCTGTCTGTGGGCAGTAGTCCCTGCCTGGCTGGAGCATTCAGCATCATCCTGCTGCTGCCCCATAGCTTGAGAACCCAGGGCCCCATGGACTGGGGTCATTCCCCTCCATGGAGGACAGCACTGGAGACAATATTTCCATAGGGTATTCAGGATGGCTGGTAGAGCAGCTGGGAGCTTTTCCCTGGCACTTAATACCCACACTTAATGTGTGGGTACTGCTCCAGGATACCCTGGGTATCGTGGGTGTGCAGGGACAATGCCCTGAGAGGACTTGCAGCCAGTGGATCCAAACACCCTGACCCTGTGGCCCAAGGGACGTGGCTCTAAGCCAGGCAGGGAGCCAGGGCCAGTGCTGCCTGGGTGGGTTGGTCAGAGATCAAGGCCAGGGGCCAGGCCATGAGACCATCAGGAATACTGACCATCAGGACAGCACCAGCACAAAGCAGAGAGATGTATGTGTGTGGGTACTGACATCTGCAGATGACTTCATACAGAGACAGGATCTTGGTCACCCTGCAAGGAAGTCCCCTGAGAGGTGCTCAGGGCTCCCTGATCCCAAGTCTTCAGGCCTTGTCCATGGGGGAGATGGGCCACAAGGTCTTTGGAGCTTCTAGCCCAGGGAGGAGCTAGGCTTCAGGCCCTGGGTCCTTGGAGGATTTTTACCACAGTGTCTCTGGGACTGTGCTGCCCCATGGTACACTGCTGGGTCTGTCCCTTGCTGGCTTCTTGGGGTTTCCATGGCCATGCCAAACAGAAGAGCAACTGTGAAGTTCCCCAAGACCAACTCAGGGGCAGCAGGAGGGAAGGTGCAAGAGACCCAGGTCAGGGCTTTGACTCACTCATGGGTCCCCGCATTGTTCCCCTTCAAGCTGGGGACTCTGCTGCAGGACAGGGGCTTGGAGATGCTCCTTGTGTGGGCTGTGGGTAAACCACACACAATTCTTTGTGAGGAGTCTAGGGTCTCTCCTTCCCCAGGACCTAGTAAAAGCCCAGCTCCCCTCAGTTCTGGGCCTCTCTGCTGCCCATAGCCCTGTCTGCGCACCCAGCAGCCCTCACAAACCAGTCATCCTCACCAGAGCACGGAGCTAGCCTCTCCACCACCACATCACTAGGCATCCTTTGTCCTCCTGGACCTCAGCAGTGTTTTGCCCAGAGGTCTGAGAAATAATGCTGCTTTGTGTTGGACAAGGAGAGCTTTTGTTAGACCTGGGCAGCTGCCAAAGGACCTGCCCTGAGCACAGGCACCCTTGGCAGCACCTCTGGGGCTGGGGCAGCCAGAGAGAGATTCACTGCTGCTGGCTACACTTGGCCCATGAAGAGCATGGAGTGTGAGATGGTTACAGAGAGCTGGAGGAGAGGAGAGGGAATGGGGAGAGTAGGCTGAGGGAGAGAAGGAAAAGAGAGGGACAGGTGGGAAATGGAGAGGACAGGAACCAGAGGGACAGGAAAAGGGAGGGGAAGAAGGATGGGAAAATGGATGGAAGGAAGGACAAATGGAAAGAAGAAAAGATGGCAGGAAGGAGGAAAACAAAGAAAGGATGGAAGGAAGAATAGACGGGAGGATAGATGGACAGATGGAAGGAAATATGGATAGGAGGAAGGATGGATGAATGGCAGGAAGAAGGATGGATAGAAGAAGAGTGGATGGGATTAAGGAGGAGTGCTGGCCTGGTTCAGTCCTTACTGCTGACGGCATCCAGCCCTGGGTTGAGAGCTGCCAGGAGACAAGATGTGGCAGCAAGTTGGTCCATCCAAAAAACACCCAGCACATGCCCATGGGACAGGTCAGGCAGGAGCAGGGTGGGCAGCACCCAAGAGGAGGGACAGCCGTGGCACCCTGGTACACAGATCCCGCAGCCACGGGCTAGTCCGTCCCGTTCTGGGGGAGCAGCAGGGGCGGAAGCGCGGAGGTGACCTGAGTATGGCTGAGGGGCGGGAGGGCGGCGGCTCGAGGGGAGCGAGGAGTCCCTGGCCGCTGGGGCAGCAGCCCCGCTCTGTACAGTCCGCACCGGGGCCGCTGCCGCCGGGACGAGCCGCGCCCGGGCCGCGCTGCGGGCGGGTCCGGCGGTGCCTTTAAGGGGCGGCCGCCGCGGGCCGGGGGCGGTGCTGGTGCTGCGCAGGGTCGGGGCGGGTGCGGCGGAGCCAGGCCTGGGCCGAGGCCGGCAACCCGCGGCCGGCAGTAGGCGCCGTCTGGGAGGGGATGGCGGTGGGCGGTCTGTGACCGCGGAGCTGAGCGCGGCGCGGCCCTTCGGCGGGGCCAGCCAACCCGACCATGGGGTTCCTGCATCAGCTCCATCTTCTGCTCTGGAAGAACGTGACACTGAAACGGCGCAGCCCGGTGAGCGGGGGCGGGGGGGCCCTGCAGCCCGAGGGGAAAGGCCGGGCCCCGCGCGGAAGTGGTGCCGGAGGGTGCCCCCAGTCCCTCGGCCCGGCGATGTCCGCGGGCCTCGGGCCAGCCGCGCACAAATCCTCCGGCCCGGCCCGCCCCCGGGCCCTGTGTGGCAGCAACAGTTGGGGCTCTCCCGCTTCGCTGTCGTGTCCGTGAGGCCGCCCGGTCCCGCGGGCCCCAGGGGGAGCCCAGGACCGGGGCTGGATATCGCCGCCCCGCGGGTGGGATCGCTCCTCGAGCCCCGATAACC